TGTCAGTTTGTACAAACCAGCCCTTGCAATCTATCGCGGCATTAGCGCATGTCGGCTATATCCAGTGTCGCGAGGTCAGCTTTGCCAACCATGGCAAGCGCAGCGACATGAAAACCTCATGCAGCTGGCTGCGCTGGCTGTGCGTTGACATGGCAAGCAAGCAACTCATTCCATGATTTGAATCACAAGCCCGAGGCTGCAGCTTGGCGAAAGCAAGAACCCATCCCGGTAGGCAATAGTGTCTGTGTGTGTGTGGTGTGTGTGTGTGTGCTTTGTCACTAAGCAATCAACTGAATGGTTGCGGCCGGCTTCACATGATTAATGCTAAGACCCTCTCCAATCTGACATGATGTACTGCGTCTTTCAGCATGCACAGCCTCCAGTTCTGGTTGAGCAACCTCTGTTTTTGGTACACCTAAGAGGTGTCAAACTATAAGGTCAGTTTGATTTGAATGATATTGCATGCCACCCCATGCCCTTGTCAAACTCAGCCGCCTCATCTCAGACTCGGAATCCTCAGCTTCTGAGATCGGCGTCCTCCGCCCCTTGAAGAACTATCAAGCCACCAAGAGAGTAGCTTTGAACACTGGAGTTCATCAAGAGAAGCTGGGATGCAACTTCAAGGCACTTACCCTGCCCTTGTGGACGCTCTCGTTGTTTATGGTCGGAAATGTGCGATCCAAGGCATAGGTGCGAAGGAAGGAAGAATAACACAAGAGCCTTCCCGACACATGCTCGCGCACACACACGGCAAGGTAATGTCGGACCCGCTTCTATATTTCGGGTCTCTTTTATAGAAAGTGGTTGTCCTAATTCAGAATTATGTGACTGTGTCTTTCTTCCTTTTGTTTGTCCTTCCTTTCTTCCTTTCTTTCTTCCTTTTTTTTTCTTTCTTTATTTATTTCTGTCTTTCTTTCTTTCTTTCTTTCTGTCTTTCTCTTTTTTTTTCTCTCTCTCTCTCTCTCTCCTCCTTCTGTCTTTACGCTTGTTCTTTCTGCCTTTCTTTCGTTCTTTCTTTCTGTCTTTCTTTTTTGCGTTCTTGTTTTCTTTCTGTCTTTCTTTCTTCCTTGCGTCCTTCCTTCTTTCCTTTCTTTATTTCTTTCGACGGAGCTGGACCTTCTCTTCACTGTCATACTTGATCTTAGGTATGTAGCACCACCAAGCCTCATACGGATTGCATCTTCGTGCTGTTTTGGCAACCAGGTTATGCTGCACCTAGTGGGAAAAGCCATGCATGGTTGAAATTATCTAAGAAGGGTTTGTGAGTTGATCTGCCCACAAACGCCTCTGACCCGTATCCCTGAGCTCATTCACACCTTGCAGGGCGTCCCTTGGCACTTGTCGCAGAAAGTGGCATGATATGTCATGTCAAACAAATCATCAACCGAGCAGTTTCATAACCACCCCTGTGATCGCCCTGTTTGATGGGTTCCCAAGCATCCAAAAGCCACGTTAGAACTGAGGCCCAAGCAAGTAGATCATCCAAATCCTATCGGCGCTCCAGCAGAATCCGGCTCAGGATTCAGGGCGCAGGAAATTGATCCTTGCACTTGTGGCTTTACAATGCTTGCGGTATTTAGCCAATCAGTCTGGCAGACCCATTAAAATGGCCACATGCCATATTCACGACAACGGCGAGCTTTTTCAAAACCTAGATTCTGCCTGTTGCTTTGTGACATTGATTGAGACCGCAGATCGCGGATATTCTTGACATGGGTAAGTTGTTGCTGGCTGCTTCACACTTGTAGTTTGGGGTGAGCTGTCCAGTGATCTGAGCTCAGCTCGTACGTTTGCCCCAAAGGGAATCTCACATCAGTGCACACTCGGAGGTGCTACATGCACGTACAGAGAAATATCCATATTTATATGAACATTGATGTGTACATTGCAAACACGCAAACGAACACCGAATCCACCACCTACTCTATCTGACACACTGCTGGTGTGCGCATGCTGAATGAAAAGCTGCTCAGCCCTTGAACAAGAATCAGTCGTACAGCACAGTACTAAACGAAACTAAGGTGTTGAGGGCCTAATCTGCAACAACGCTCAAACGTGTTCAAAGGTTCGTCTTGACACCGTTGGCAGCTCCCTTAGTTGCGCTTCACAAAGCACATCCTCACATTTGCAGGTGTGTGACATTGAGATTTATCTCAGCGCACATCCCGGGCTGCTCGTTTCTGAACGGCAGCCAATCAGGAACCAAACACTTGATGTTCAGGGAATCCACAAACAAACAAACAAACAAACAAACAAACAAACAAACACACAAACAAACAAACAAGCAAAGAAACAAACAAACAAACAAACAAACAAACAAACAAACAAGCAAACAAGCAAACGAGCAAGCAAACAAACATCTCGATTGTTTCTCTCTATCTAAGATTTGTGTTGTCATTTTTTCCTTTGGGGCAGCAACTCCCGTCCCCATCCCAGTCCGGAATCGCGCGAGGGGGAGCCGGCGCCTGACAGGTCCAGCGATGTAAAGTGGAAACGGCTCTGGACTGAATGCCATTTAAGAAATATATAGTCAAACATGTGGACCCTTGTGAGTCCCCGCCTTCACAGGTTCCCAAGGAGAGAAACACAAAAGCTCGTTTGAAGCCTGGCTGTTAGAACCATCTGTCCTACTGGGAACCAGTGCATTGGAAGTGATTTTCAAGGGTGCGCTGCACATGGTGGTTTCTGCCTCCCGCAAAGTGGTGTGTTGGCGGAAAGCTTGCCATGTTTTGTTGCGCAGGCGCTCTGTCGTCACTTCCCGCCCCATCGTTGGTCTCACATTTGCCATTGCGAAACACACTCGTAAGAGAACTACAGAGAGATCGCTGAGTCATCTCATGCTTTACCAGGTAAGCACTCATTACTCACAAACCTGGCCATGCCTGAGTCAAGCCCGAAACGTTTCCGAGGGGATCGATTAATGGCTCAAGTGTTCGGTCCAAGGGATGCGTTGGTCTCCTGGAGAACTAGCTGACGTGTTATTGAAAGGTAAACCCTCCGCTGGAGCGTCACATCATCAGCAATCCAAGACAAATGCTACGCACAAACCATGGCAGTACGGATACTATCAAAGTGCAAATGCAATATGTAGAATAATATGCGTAATATGTACTGCAGACCATAAGGGCTCCTTATACATAAATGAGGATTCCAGACAGGAATCCTCCGGCTCATGCCTCCGGCTCTTCGCCTGGGAGGTTGCCTTATGCAAAAGGCCAATCGCTTCCCGGACGTGCTTCAAGAAAGAGGTGGCTCGTCTTTTCTGCACGAAGTGGCTTTCCCTGTGGTTTCCCTTTAAAACAAGCCCGAAAAGGGGATACCTCAAAGGAAGACACGCCCATGTCCATGATCTATGGCACGAACGACTTTGACTCCATCGACCGCAAGACACTGACTGCTCCCATACGATGATTCGCTTGACATTGCATGTTCCGCTGTGTCCAATCGCGAGTAGTGCCAAGCAAACACATAGGAATGCGTCAAATTGATCCACATGCAGAGGCTATAGCAAATGCTTGCCTACCTCCTTGTTGGATGATTGTGACCCTCCTACATTGCTGTCCAAATGAATGCCAGTTGCCTTCTCGCTGGACCGTCTCTTAAGTTCGCTGCAAGTTCACTTCTCTCAACAGTTACGAATTCAAGTCAGATGTGTTCAGGTGTCAAAGAAAGGCATGCCGGTATGTGTGTGCCAAAGCAGGGGGACCCCACTGGTGGTTCTTCCTTTTGCATTGACCTGAAAAGGGCCTCAAAGCAATGCACACTCCAATCTGTGAGGCAAATGGCAACAATGTCCATTGATAGTTGTCGCTCGTGTGTCTCACGGACGAGGGCACGCGGTCAAGAAAGGGCGTTGAGGTGACAGTTGTCGGCACTTGTTTTGCAGTCAAAGCTGGAAGGTTCGTCTTCAATGCCGTCTCCTGTAAATCATCCCGATGGCAAAATGCCCCGAGAAGTCTGGGAGCGTTGTCTCACTTTCGAAAGTGCGGGTGGCCGGCGGTCCGTCGCAAACCTCTGAGCGCGGGGCTTTCAGGTGCCTGCAGTCGGATTTTGGATTTCGGCACGCCCAAGCGTTGCCTTCGCACCGAAAGAACATCTGATCGAAGCAGTTCACCATGTCTCATGGGCTTGGGCTATGCCAATTTCTCTTCGGGGCGAAACAAGAAAATGCCGGGCATGTTCACAAGCGTGGCGTTACCTAAGTCGCAGAGCCTTTTGCTCCCATTATGTGCTGGTTGGGATGAGAGCATCCTACTTCCCATGCCTAGTTGCGGTGACTGTTCCGGGGCAAGGCTGCAGCTTTCTTGGCATCACGGGGCTGCATGGTGACACTCCTGCATTTGAAGCAAACAAGCAGCCACAGCTCGAGTCTTCAAAACCACCACTTTGCCAACTACAGCTTAGTGTTAACTGGGCCAAAGGCCAAGAGCCCAAGTTGCCGTCTTGTTGGATTCGTGGAGCCAACAGAAAGGTGTGTTGCTTGCTTGCTCGCTTCACTGGGCTTCTCAAATTCATGGCTTTCCTTTGCCGCGCCTCCGGCTTCGCGAGAACAGCCATGGCCACCTGAAGTGAAGGCCACCAGGTGGGGTTCTCTCGGCCCATGCCAGAACGAGACCTCTGAGACTCTTGCGGTTGGCTGTGCATGTTCTGCTCACACAAAATCGGCATTTCTTGGAAAGAAGTGCCTCAGTTTCTTAGATATGTTTAGCCCCTGAAACACAGGCCAGCGACGCTCACCTCGCCTGCAGCGGCATCGGTCGGCGGCTCATGGCGAAGCTGGCGAGATGGCTCGGTCGCGGGGCTCGAGGCGCAGAGAGTTCGATGTCGATCTGAGAGACCTCTGTGTTGCACGCTGAAAGCTAACTCAAGCTACCTCCACCTTGTAAGCCTGGAGCCTGCGGCTGCCCAGATCGATCCGTGCAGAGAATGCGACAATTGCCAGTTCGACGTCCACCGTATGTTCGCCAAGCCGTGCTGGGGTCCGACGCCGATGCATTTTTCCTCTCGGGAGCTTCGCGCTCGGAGCACAGCCTTTGGCTCTTCCAGCTGCAAAGGCCCGAGAGACCTGGGCAAAGATCCCAACAGCTGACTCTATGGACGCCTCTCACCTGCATGGGTGAGTTCAACAGTTAGGGCCATGGTATTTCCCTTCGAAACTCTAAAACAAGGAGGGTTTGCCACATTCGTCGTGAAATCGTGGCTGATCGTGGCTGACTGCGGCCGAGCACGGCTTTGACTTACGCAGGGGAAAGGTAACATTAAACACTAGGCATGGTAGCTGGGTGGAATCAGTAGTTCGCTACCATGCCATCCATACTGTCTCAGCTGTCTAAACATCCGAAGTGTGGCCTTCAAAACAAATCACTGTTTGATTGCTAAGACAAGCCTTGACTGATATGCAAATCAAGCCCCGCTACCCCAAAGGCTGGACAAATCGGCACTTAAACTTGGTTTTGGTCCTACCGGCCAATCATGTCAACTTTCGCCCGGTGTATTGCAATAGGATTGGAACCCAAAGGAGTAAATCCCGATGTCCAAATCGACCCTCGAAATACCGCGGTTTGCAATTTCGTCCATGGGACAAGCACCAGTACTTCTACCCCACCCACCAAAACACGTGCATTCAGCTCCAGGCGGTGCGACCTCATTCCCCAGCAGACTTGGCGAGTGCGGCGGCCTGGCAAAGCCAATCAGATGAGTACACATGCGGACAAGACAGAAGAGCATGTGATCAAACAGCCGCTGAAGCAACTCATGATCAATACATGATCAATGGTGCAAAGGAAGCAGACTTTCGTGACGTGTATCAAAACTGAGTCGTTCCTCCAGCTCAACTTCATGGAGAGCATGGTTCATATGCAAGCTCCAAATATGTAGCATGTTGCCTTCATCCGAATTGCAAAGGGACTCTGCAGAACAGTGCCAGCGCGCAGCCTGGTGGGGCCAGACATGCGTTGGCTCTGGAGCCTTGTAAAAAGGGAATACTTCCCAATGCGCTTATCATTTGTGTGATTGATTTGTGGAGGAAATCAATCCCGCCCAAACCATGCCTGCCTGAGCCTGCAAGCGCCGGATACTCGCCGCGAAGTCCGAGACGTCCTCGCTCCGATTCCAGGCCGGTGTGTGTCTGTTTGTGGTTGTGCTTGCGCTTGTGCTTGTGCTTGTGTGTTTGTGTGTGTGTGTGTGGTTGAGTTTGTGTTTGTGGTTGTGCTTGTGCTTGTGTGTCTGTTTGTGCTTGCGTTTGTGCTTGTGCTTGTGTGGTTGTGTGTGTGTGGTTGAGTTTGTGGTTGTGGTTGTGCTTGTGCGTCTGTTTGTGCTTGTGTTTGTGCTTGTGCTTGTGTGTTTCTGTGTGTGTGGTTGAGTTTGTGGTTGTGGTTGTGCTTATGTGTCTGTTTGTGCTTGTGCTTGTGCCTGTGCTTGTGTGTTTGTGTGTGTGTGGTTGAGTTTGTGGTTGTGGTTGTGCTTGTGTGTCTGTTTGTGCTTGTGTTTGTGCTTGTGCTTGTGTGTTTGTGTGTGTGGTTGAGTTTGTGGTTGTGGTTGTGCTTGTGTGTCTGATTGTGATTGCGCTTGTGCTTGTGCTTGTGTGTTTGTGTGTGTGTGCTTGTGTGTCTGTTTGTGGTTGTGCTTGTGTGTCTGTTTGTGCTTGTGTTTGTGCTTGTGTGTTTGTGTGTGTGGTTGAGTTTGTGGTTGTGATTGTGCTTGTGTGTCTGTTTGTGCTTGTGTTTGTGCTTGTGCTTGTGTGTTTGTGTGTGTGTGTGTGGGTTTGAGTTTGTGGTTGTGGTTGTGCTTGTGCGTCTGTTTGTGCTTGTGTGTGTGTGTGATTGTGCTTGTGTGTTTGTGTGTGTGTGTGTGGTTCAGTTTGTGGTTGCGGTTGTGCTTGTGTGTCTGTTTGTGCTTGTGTTTGTGCTTGTGCTTGTGTGTTTGTGTGTGTGGTTCAGTTTGTGGTTGTGGTTGTGCTTGTGTGTGTGTGTGGTTGAGTTTGTGGTTGTGGTTGTGCTTGTGTGTCTGTTTGTGCTTGTGTTTGTGCTTGTGTCTGTTTGTGGTTGTGCTTGTGTGTCTGTTTGTGCTTGTGTTTGTGCGTGCGCTTGTGTGTTTGCGTGTGTGTGGTTGAGTTTGTGACTGTGGTTGTGCTTGTGTGTCTGTTTGTGCATGTGTTTGTGCTTGTGCTTGTGTGGTTGTGTGTGTGGTTGAGTTTGTGGTTGTGGTTGTGCTTGTGCGTCTGTTTGTGCTTGTGTTTGTGCTTGTGCTTGTGTGTTTTTGTGTGTGTGGTTGAGCTTGTGGTTGTGGTTGTGCTTGTGTGTCCGTTTGTGCTTGTGTGTTTGTGTGTGAGTGTGCTTGTGTGTCTGTTTGTGGTTGTGCTTGTGTGTCTGTTTGTGCTTGTGTTTGTGCTTGTGTGTTTGTGTGTGTGGTTGAGATTGTGGTTGTGGTTGTGCTTGTGTGTCTGTTTGTGCTTGTGTTTGTGCTTGTGCTTGTGTGTTTGTGTGTGTGTGGTTGAGTTTGTGGCTGTGGTTGTACTTTTGTGTCTGTTTGTGCTTGTGTCTGTGCTTGTGCGTGTGTGTTTGTGCGTGTGTGGTTGAGTTTGTGGTTGTGGTTGTGTGTGTTTGTGTGTGTGTCTGGTTGAGTTTGTGGTTGTGGTTGTGCTTGTGTGTGTGTGTGTGTGTTTGTGCTTGTGTTTGTGATTGTGCTTGTGTGTATTTGTGTGTGTGTGTGGTTCAGGTTGTGGTTGCGGTTGTGCTTGTGTGTCTGTTTGTGCTTGTGTTTGTGCTTGTGCTTGTGTGTTTGCGTGTGTGTGTGTGTGTGTGTGTGCTTGTGATTGTGGTTATGGTTGTGGTTGCGTGATTGTTTCTTTTTTTCGTGCTTTGTTTGTGCTTGTGTTTGTGCTTGTCAGTCAACTGACAGCTGTGGGTGCATTCCTTCAAGAACTGCTGAGATTCAGCTAGTTTCAAGAGTAGTGCTCTATTGTGTCAGTAAAAGTTAAAAACAAGGGACGTGTGGCCTGTGGAAACTAGGTACGCATCATGAGTGCGGGCACGCGGTGCGGGTGCGATAGTAGGGTGCGGGTCTGAGGTTCACGTACAGCCGCTAATTGGGTGGACAGTGCGCAGCTCAGGAAAGGGCCCAAACATACGAGTACAGCAAGTCCCCGGTTCGCTCGCAAACAAACATAATGTTGGTTCAAGTCGTTGCGACCCGCAGGGAGTACATGAACCAACCCTCTCCAAAAAAAGATTCAGAATTGCAACCGTAAACTTTGACAAATCCTGCCTCTGGAGGCGCTGGTGCCTCTGGTGGAGGCGCTGGTTCCTCCTGTGGAGGCGCGGGGGCCTCTGGTGGAGGTGCTGGTGCCTCTTGTGGAGGAGCTGGTGCCTCCGGTGGAGGTGCTGGTGGTTTTGGTGGAGGTGCTGGTGTTTCTTGTGGAGGCGCTGGTGCCTCTGGTGGAGGTGCTGGTGCCTCTTGTAGAGGTGCTGGTGCCTCTTGTGGAGGTGCTGGTGCTTCTTGTGGAGGCGCTGGTGCCTCTGGTGGAGGTGCTGGTGCCTCTTGTGGAGGTGCTGGTGCCTCTGGTGGAGCTGGTGCCTCCTGCAGAGGCGCTGGTGCCTCTGGCGGAGGCGCTGGTGCCTCCGGTGGAGGTGCTGGTGCCTCCTGCGGTGGCGCTGGTGCTTCTTGTGGAGGAGCTGGTGCCCCTTGTGGAGGAGCTAGTGCCTCTTGTTCTTGTGAAGGCGCTGGTGCCTCTTGTGGAGGCGATGGTGCCTCTTGTGGAGGCGCTGGTGCCTCCTGCGGAGGCGCTGGTGCCTCCTGCGGAGGCGCTGGTGCCTCTGGCGGAGGCGCTGGCGGCTCTTCTGGAGGCACTGGCGTCTGTTGGGCAGGCGTTGCTCGGGTTGGTGGTGCTGGTTCAGGCTGCTGCGCGTTTGGAACAGGCGATGCCGAATCTTTGGGCGCTGCCTTGGATTTCTGAGCCTCGGCCGCAGTCTCATTTGTCTGGCCAAGGATGCTTTGCACGCTCATACACAGGCACCAACATGCATGATAGACGACCTGAAAACGCAACACACCACATGTTTCAATAACTGCACCCTGACTCCACCGCACATTGAAGAGGCCACATCGGAGTACCATTCATGGCAGCGCACATGCGCAGCCTGTGAAAACCTTTGCCTCACAGAATTACTGCAGCATGTGTCTTACTCCAAGCGAACGCTGGCATCCTCCTGGCCTCCGGTAGCAAGGAGAAAAATTGCAACATACACCACAAAGTACTTGGCCCTTTCATGGATCAGAAATACACAGGTCGCTGGTGGATCAGTTCAAACAAAGGCTGACTCCCAAGCCATTTACTCCGACGCTTGTTGCCAAAGCGCCCTCCACCCCACCCCAAGCATCCTGCCTGGCCCACCTCCACCTGCCCAAATCAAACACCACATGCACATGCGCAAAAGCACAGGCACAAGCACGAGCACAAGCATACGCGCACGCACAATGTTGTGCAGAAACACGTGCAAATGAACATGCTCATACACGAAGACCAGCGCGCGCACACACACACAAACATGCATAGGCACAAAGAAAATACGCATGGACATGCAAGTGCTCATACACATGCACATTTATATACACGCGTACATGGGGGTTGTCCTATATTCCTTTGCCCGCGATTGGGCCCTTGGGCCGCACTTGCGCGGCACTTGCGCGTACTTGCGCGCGCACAGTGGCGCAGAAACTCGTTTTCGTTGACCTCGGTTTGCGAAGTTTTCGTGTGGATTGCGCGCAAGCTTTTCTAAGCAGTGTGTTTGTCGTTCACACAGCAACCCACAAAGACTTTTCCCGCTGAGGTCGCTCCCGGCAATTCAATGCCAGCAACAGTACCCTTGACCCAACAGAAAGAACAGCAGGCTCTGCCACACAGCTTGGACACAGCCTGAAAGAAGGAAAGTGCATGTTGCGGGTGCCTATCCATTGCTTGAACCGCGCCGCTAAGGACATCCGAGACAGCATGGCTAGATGTCTTGCTGGGGCTTCTCGTGCTTGCGCGCAACTTGCGCGCGGCTTGCGCGCGGCTTGCGCGGATTTTGTCGTCTCAATTGCTGATTGTTGAAGTCATGACTGCAGAAGCTTTGGCTTCGTTTGGCGTCTGACTGATTCGAAAGGCACAAGTACAGCAGGAAAATATCACCTCCTTTCATGAAGCTAGGCAACATCAGTACATGAAACCCTTCAAAACTGTATGTAACCTTGCGCGTCCCTTGGGCCGCACTTGCGCGCTCCTTGCGCGCGCACAGCTTTTGACAACTTTTACTTCTCCCTGTTCGGCGATAATTAAAACCGAAGACTGGGGTTTTAGGACGGCCCTCACATATATACGTACACACGCACATACAAAACCGTTCAAACACCCAAACAAACGCGTGCTCATAGACGCAGGGTTATCTGTCTCAGGCAGGGCTTTGGCCGGTCACAGGATTGCTGGCGGAGCCTCAGGCAACGGAAAAAGCACCTGGGACTTGGAAAGATCTTCGTGCGCAAGGCCTCTTCGAGTCCAGGTCAGCAGGCCCAGCGACCGGCTTCACCAAGTCCATTGTCTTTTGAGGCTCGACATGTTGAGGTTCCATTGGAGAACAAACCCATTTGGCCATCTGGCATTCAACGTCCACTTGGCAATCCAAGCAGGAAGGTGCACTTGCAGTTGGCCCTGGGCAAACAGGCAGGCAGGCAGGCAAGCTGGCTCAGGCAAAGCCTGATGAACAGCAGAGCTTGTGCAGTGCTGTTTGTCACCAGGCAGCGCAGACAGCCTAAGACCTTAAGACGACGCTTGCAGGAGAAGGTAAGGATGAGTTTGGGATGGGCAGTGGAGAAATTCTGACGGGCCACATGATAAGGGGTCCAACCCTGGACGAGGTGTCCAGGAAAAATGATTCCTATGCAAAAAATCTGCCGACGCGTTTGGAAGTCTATTTTTGGGGTATTTGAGGGGGGGTTGCTAGAATATGTTTTTGATGGTTGATTTTGGGAAATATTGAAAAACCTTTTTTTTTGCATTTTTTTTGTGGCTAGCCGGCTGCATTCCCAGCATTCCCGACTTCTCTGGTATTTTCTGTGTTTGGTCATTTTTTTGCGTGTCTGAAAGTTTTAAAATTTTGGATGTGAAGAGTGGGTGTGTTTTGTATGTTGTGTGGTTGCATCCCTTGCATTTCCAGCATCCTCAGCATCTGGGACATCCCAGTTTATTAATAGGGGACTGTCCACTGGCGTCGGCGGATCGCGTAGCGATTTCAATAATGATGATAGTAATAGTAGAGCAAGAAGGGAACATCTATAAGTGCACTCACCCAGCAGACGCATTGTTTGTGACTGTTCCTAAGTGAACATCATTTGAGAATTCACACGCTTCCTCCTCTGGTGCCTTGGATCGCTGGCTTGCTGCAAAGCAATTATGCCTTGTAAAAGGGCAGTATTCAAGTGGCACAAAATCTGGTGAATTGAGGTGGGAGCCTCTCAACGGTTGGTATTCAAAGGGAAACTAAGGAAGTCGTTTTCCATTTTTGGGACCAAGTCCTATTTTGAGAACCCCCAAAGCCGATTGGAAGAGGTTTGCCACGGCCAAGTCGTCTTGCCCAAACTGTCAGCCCCGGTCAGCCCCTCCTCTCCAGCAGCCCTGCTGACGTAGATGAAGATGTTGTCGACCTGGCCAAATGGCCCGAAAAGACCTCAGTGAGGCTTCTGGGCTCGCCTACAAGCGCAGCTGTGACTCCTTTCCATTTGGTTTCATCAAGTCTATATATAACGGGGACAAGGGTCTGACAATGGCACAAGCCCTGGGGCAAAGGGGCGTGTCGCCCTACGCCACACAACGGCGTTCTCTCCCGTCCACAGACCTGAACGCTGGAATCCGCGGCCTCCAAATCCATCTGCTCTGGGGCTAAAAGGTGAAGCCATGGCACAAGTCTGCAAGTTTCTCAAGCAAAGAGGGGATCCAAGAACAGGCTGTTACATCGCCTTTTGTACTGGTATAAGAACCCTGGCTCGGTCATAGTATGACGGAGCAACATGTTCAAGTGATAAAATCAAGGTGCTGACCCCATTTCGAAAGATGGCAGCAACAGCTTGCGATTCAACCTCGCCTACAGCAAGTCTGACCATGAGGATGGAGTCATTTTACATGGTCACGAAGTGCCGATCATGTCATTGCGTGTTTTGAGTAGAGCGACCGGGTACAAACCTCCAAGACCAATTGACATATTGAATAGCGACCTTGTCAAACATGTCGCATTCATCCCCATGTTCTGGCCGGGCCATGCACAGCTCAGGGCAGCAAAACAATGCACGTCGAGATACAGGTTCGAGTGTCCAAACGATCCGGATCGATGGAGCAATCATCTCTTCCACACTGACCAAGCCATTTCTGAATCCAAACATCCAGCCCATCTCGCGCTGCATGGCAAAGGACACGGGAAATCCGAACTACCCTTGTTGCTTTGATGCGTCGCACATTGTGACTTCCACCGCTAATGTCTGGTTGCTTGGGTTTTGCTTAGAATTGTGCAAGATTGGCCCGATTTCTTTGCTTGGATTGGGCAGCTGTCTCCAACAAATGATTTGTGGGCTCCTGAATAACATGGAACCATCATTTGGCTTTTCGGGGAATATCGCACTGAACATGCAGACCCTTCGCTCGACAAAAGGCTCCCCATCCAGCCACGAGGCGGCGCCGCGCCTCCCAGGCTGGGTCGAGCTCCACGAGTCGGGGGTCCTTGGCAAAGCGGTCTTCAGGGCTGGCGAAGCGATTGATATTTATATGCTTATTTATGTTTATATTTATATTTGTATCTGTATTTATATTTATATTTATGGGGAAGGTCGGGAACCGGGAGGACGCATCTTTGTTGGTGGCCACCTGTCTCAAGGCGTTGAAGGAGGACAAGCTGGGGCCTCACTCTCCGGATGCAGCTGCACGTTGGCCCCGCATCCTTTTGTCTTTCAAAGTCCAAGCTCATGCATGGAACACTAGCTAACCTCCACTATGCTTGGATGTTGGTCAACATCGGCATGCCTGATATCAGCGGCCATTGCATAGGGTTGGCACAAGTCGCCTTCCCCTTCCCTCAGCTGTCAAGGGGAAAAAAAACTTAAGTTGTGCAGCATCCGTCCAACCTTTCCAAGGTGTGCAATATGTGCTGCTTTAGTCATCTCTATGTGTACATATATACATGTGTATGACATGTGCACAATCAAAGCAATTCACAAGGCAACCTACAAGCGATTGTTGGCAGTTTCCGTCCGATGCGTCAGTCAGTCCTGCCTGTGTATAGGTCAGTCATGGCACTTTGCTTTTTGTGTCTCGCCGAACCTACAGCAACACTTCCAGCCTCGCGGCAGCGTTGGCCGCTTCACGCCCTGGGGGCTCCACACTTAAAGCACTCCTCTGATGTGGGGAAGTTCTTCTGGCCGCAGCCGGCGCACTCCCACTTCTTCTGCGCATACCGCTCCGCCTCCGCGCGGGCGCGCCGGGCCCGGTCCTCCTCCGCGTTGCGGCTCTCCCCGCAGCGCTCACAGTACCTGGCGATGCCAAAGTTCATGGTGCCGCAGGCGGAGCACGTCCACTTGGTCTCCCGCGCAGGTTTCGGGGGTGGTGGGAGCTCCCGGCCAACCAGACCCTCCAATCGCTTGAGCACCAGCGAGAAGGGCCCCGCAGAGTTGTCAAAAGACCTGCGGGTCTGGAGGGTGATGGATTGCACTCGCTCCAGGGCCAGCGCCGGCTGCACATCCTCAGTCTCCTTTCCTCTTAGGGTGGGCTTGAAATCTCGGAAGAACATTTCTACTCTGCTCTTGCCTTCTGCCTTGAAGCGGAACACGTGTTCCACCCCTGCAGGCGCACCCAGCATTCGCAGCGCCACGGCGTATTCCTTGCCGTCCGCCTCTTCGAGGTGGAGCACCAACCCCTTCAGCTCACATAGGGCCTCCGGCAGCTGCGACGCCTGTAGCGACACCCCGGCAAACGCGTCCTTGTCCGCCTCCAGTTGGCCCGAGAACTCTGCGTGCCCTGACTCGTCGGTGAGGCCCAAAAAGGACGCCTGCGACTGGCCCCCGCGCACATCGTCCGTCTCTGCCCGCCACACATTGAAGCGCCAGGCCTCACGCCCCAACAGCTGCACCGCCGGCTTCTCGGATTTGGCGTCGACCTTCGGACCCTCGGCACTTTGGGGCGGCGCCTGGGGGCCGAAGGCGAAGGGCGAGCCCCAGCGCGCAAAAAGCAGCACCAGCACCAGCCGCAGCCGAGCTCGACGCCGCATGGCAGAAAGCTGCTATGGCTCTGGGACCTTGGGGTCTCAGCAGCTGCCAACCGAAGGAACCAACTGGTGCTTGATGCAACCTCATAACCCGGAGCCACCGATTGGGAATTCGGAAGGTGCTGGACCCTGGCTAATCACGCTCGATCCTGCCAAAAGCGCGCAAAATAACCAAAGGGTCTTCCGGACAGCCAGGTTCGCCACCATTTGAGCTGCGACCAAAACCCATTGACGGTTGGTTCTACCAAAGTTACAAAGAATATTAGGCCTTGCTTTTAAAGGAGGCAAGCGCCACTTGTCACTCACTGACCATGGCCCTGCTTGGATTTTGGCCTCGGATCACGCGGAGCAGGCATTATTCAAGACAGGTGCAGTGCAATCGATCTCATCGCAAAGCTCCAAGCTTTAAATCAAACGTGGCATAAAACCCACATTCAGTGCCTCTTCAAGACCACCTCCCAGAGCAACTGTACGCAAGGCTGCTCAAACCCTGACATCTCCCAGTGACCGAATTGGAAACCCACTTCAACCGAGCTGACAACTATCCTGGAGTGGCTCTACAAGCAACGAACGCGCAAGCGTACCTGCTGATATGTAGCTCCTCCAGCTGACACAGGTTTCTCCACATTCGAGCCCCTTTGAATTCATCCTCACAGCCGCCAAACCCGCAGGGGGTCGATCCCCATTTTCAGACTGACATGGGTGTGTTTGTTTGCGGGGGAACCAACTTTTGGTTGGTTTCAAAGGGACACTCACCATTTTAGGGAGGTTCCTGAACCCCAGCCCTCGGGACATGTGTCGCTGCTCTGCTCGGCCCAGGGCCAACTTTCGGGCTCGCGGGAGCCTGAGGCGTGCTAACCCTCGACGCATTCCCATACTCAAAGGAAACAAGCCCAGGAAACTACTACTTGTCATGTGGCTGTTCGCGGATTCCGCTCACCGCCCGCAAAGCACAGGCCATGTCGCGTGAAGTGCCGTGCCCTTGGATAACGATTGTCATGGACCGAGGCTGGATGTGTACGCGAATCACTGGCACGGCCTCAGCACCTCCGCCTCTTCTGCCCAGCCTCCGGGGGCAACTTGGCAGTCCGGGGATGATGCGGAATCTGGAACCCTTTGGTGGGGATGAAACGCAAACCGTATGGAAGCCACTTGCTGCCTTCAAGACGCCGTGTTCTCCGGACGCTCTGACCAAGGAACACTGCCGTGGCTGAGTCGGATCAAAGGGGCAAAGACACATCCCCGTTGCACCAACACGCAACAATCAGCAGCTCATCAAGCTTCCTCATGAGGCTTGTGCCTACTTCATGTTTGGTTGAAGCCATGCCTAATTGACCTTCACAGCATGCCTCTTGTTCACTTAGTACCGACCATGTTGGGTTTGATTTGCATAGTACAAGTCCCGCTCTGCCTCCCGCTGGATGCTTGGCCAAAAGTGGCAAGCGAAACCTCAGGCGAGGCCACTGCCTGTGCAGGATGCAAGCATTCTATGGTACATGCGTAGACAACAAGTATCTCGGGGGTTCTGATGAGACACGCCATCTAAATAACGTTACAACCATCCACGAGTCGCTTAATCAGTTTGGATGTGTTTCACAAACTTGTTCGAGGGAGATTATGTTCAACACGACTCGTGACTAATCGTGACTTGAAGATCAAGTCACGCTTTCCCAGACCGACAGGATTGATCCCTCTCAGCTGTCCACGACCAAATCCGAAGGGTAGCTCTGAGGTTGATGTGTTTGCAGAAAGCGAACACACATGAAAACCAGGAGGTGGTGTAGATGCCGCTTGTACATTGCATGCATTACCGTGTCGTTCTACCGACGAGGCTGAAACAAGCAGCCCTCTTCATGCGCAACCCATGTTCCAAGAGTCAAACCCTGTGTGCGGTAATTAGTGGCGCCATGGTGCATGGCACCCATCACGCAATCATGTCAAACAGGGCCCAATGCCTCATGGGTTGAAGTCAGGCAGTGTCGAAAAATCGATAGTTAGCCAGGAGTGTGGATTCCAATTCAGCCAACCGCCAGAAGCCCCATGACAGCACGCTCTCGACACTCTCGCAGACTGGTCTAGACTGGTCTGGGCATCCCGTCGACGGCGCATCGGTGGAACCGCTCACAAAGAGGCCTAAGCTAAGCGCAAAACCGATTTCACGACGCCATCTGCTTCCCATTTGGGTCAAGGAAAAAACCAACACAATCTATCGCTTCGAGAACAAAAAGGCCTTGGATGGCCTTGGCCACAATGAGAGCAAGGGCTGAACGTGTGTGATCGTCTCCAACATGACTCGCTACAATCAGAGTGATGAGCAGGAAATATCAATATTCACTGCTTACATCATACATTGCATGTAATTCAGTCCAAGAGTCCAGGGACGCATGCGTGCATCCCAGTACAGGCAGCTCTTTAAAATTTAGATGTGTGCAGCCCACACATATGCACTCCTGGGTGAGTCACAGCTGGCTTCGTCGCCAGTTGAATCACTTTCAACGGCTGATTTTGAGGATCCGAGTCCTTGCAAAGCAGAGAGTCTGTGGATCCTAGTTACCATGTTCCGTTTAGGAACCCTTGTAACTAGCGTTGCGAATCACTCAGCTACTCCAAGTACTTTTTAAGATCCTCAGTACATCTGTTTGCCGTTGACCATCACACCCTTGGCGCGAATTTGTGCCCAGTCCACGATCTCGATCTCTACAAGGGGCGTTGGGATGCCTTCAGCAACTAGCTTTGCGCATATTGCAAACCTTTGTCGCTGCGGCACAGCTGATGAATCTAAGCTTCACAAACCCGCCAAAACCGTGCACTCTTGTTGCCTTGCGCGCTGGTGGCAGCACCTTGGCCACACCATACTCAGCAATCTTCCGCAGGCATAGCAAATCTACGGAACACACACGATGTACAACGAAGGGGATTAGCTTTCACACAACTCAAACCCGCACCTAACTGTTTAACTCGAACTGGGGACCTGGAACCCTGGGACCCGGGGGCCCTGGGGCCCACACCCCCAGCGCACAAGAGGCGCCGGGCCTCCCGCAGCAGGCCAGCGGCCTGAAACCGAGGTTTCTCAGATTCAAATGATCATGGTATGAGATGCAAAGGGACCCCTTGGTGGACATCAGGATGGTGTTTGATTCATGTCCACCAACCACTTTTGATGGTTTCAGAATAACATTCATATCCACAGGGCGGGACCAGGGCTCAAGAGAAACCAAGAACCAGTGAAATCCGTGCCCTGTTGTGAGCCCAACCCACATTTTGCAGCTGTTTCTGCTCTTTGTCTTCGGTCCTCTGTGGTCATCCGTGAATTCGGCTGCTGTTGGTTCAGCTTGTCCCATGCTCTGGTGGCTTCTGCAATGAGACCTGAGCAAGGTTGCCTGGAGGGCCAAGCAATCGTACGGCTGGTTGGGTGGGCAGAATTTTGCCGGTGGTATCTGGTCAGACAAGTGGCCTGGTGGGTCAAGCGGCCAAAAGCTGCTGATACGAACGATTAAGAAGTGATTCTGATCGGTTGCCATTATAATCACTGGATCCGAAGCAGGCACCCTGGCTGCCCTCATGCCCCCCATGCATTGAAAAAAAAGCAATGTCGCTCGGCGAAATCCGACTCGCTTGGTTCAGTCCCGGGCGTCGCCGGGCTCCGCGAGGATCACGTCCAGGAGCCCCAGCTCCACCACCAGGTCGAAGGCGGAGGCCTCCAACGACCTCCGGGCATGGGCCAGGCCAGCGCCTCCGGGTCCACCGGGCCCAGAGAGCCCAACTGAGACAGTGGGAACGCCGAAGGTTCGTTGACTTTAAGACTCTAACCCTGTGGATCGAGTTATCTCACAACCTAAAATCAGCCAAAAGTCACGGTCAAAACCAGCATTGAACCTACTTCGGAAAGCAGGTGGTTCAGCCTGTACATTTTGAACATGTGGAATCTGCGCGACACCTCAGAATCTGCGCGACACAGGTAGCGGGCTCTCCTCGTTCTGATTGGATTGAACATGATTTGGAGCGGAGCCTTGCAATCTCGAAATGGACCAGCCGTGTAAAAACAAGAGCCGGAAACTTGCTCAAATTGCAACGGCCGCCATTTCGTGACCCTGCCATCCGCCAAAAGTGGCAAAACTACCTTGAAATATGAGAAAAGGCCTCGCAAAACATCCTCCTGGAGTTCAGTTTAGACTCTTCCAAATCATTTGGCAACGGAAAGGTGCACCACAATACAACCACGTCACTGCATCCTGCCCATCCCCCCCCCTGGCCGATTCTGGCCCTGAGTGCAAGGCGTCGGCTTGCGTGCATCCTCACCAAGGCAGCCGGAGCGCCAACGCTCCGTGCTGGGCCCAAGAATAAGCTGACCAAGTTGCCTGCTCCAAAGAAGAATCACGATGACAGGCTGGCAACAATAACATGTCCATTTTCCATGATGTCCAGGGCATGCTGGCCAAGTCAGTTTGCAGCGGGTTGAACATCATCGACAAAAGTGTGCGCTGTGAACTAAACGCAAAAGAAGCATATAATGTGCGCGTTGTTGCATCTCGTGAGCAGCCTGACGGCCTTCGAACAAGTTGACAAGATAGACTCCCTGTCATGCTGCGGAAGTTTCGTTCCCAAGTTGCAATTGATGCACATTGCCGCTGGTAATTGCCGAGTTTCTTGCAAATAACGGCCAAACTCAACTTAGTAGTTCAAAAAAAACAAAGATGCGGTAGTCCATACAAAGGTCAATGACCAAATAGGCACGGGAACAATCGTGCAGGACGTGTGCCGCGGTCCACTTAGGTGCAAACACTGGCCGCAACGTGAGACGAGTGTTGCCCAATGCTCTCCAAAGCGATATACAGTGACATACAAATGTCACGCCGGCGGCACCCTGAATCCACGTGGGATGCAGATCTTCCCAGCGAACGCGGCGCATTTTTCGGCGCCATCGACGGCGAGTCGGCCGCACGAGCAGTGTCCCCGTTCCCGCCTCCTTCAGCCAGCGAAGGCCAGGCCTGGAGACGCAGGGCTCCGGAGAATTTGAGGCAAGGGGTAAGCCATGGAGGGGATGTGGAAGGTGTGTGAGAACAAGGGGAGGTGGGAAATAGGTGTCGCAAGGGAAGAAAAGGGGATGGGAATGGCAGGATGGGAAGGGAAACGATTGGAAGGATGGGTCTTTTAGTTGTGGGATGTGAATGGAGGGGAAGGGATGAGGCATGGGAGGGCTGGAAGATGGAACGTGATGGGATGCCCGAAATGGGAAGCAATGGGGGTGGGATTGGGATCGGTCCTGCCGAACCAGAGCCGGATTGCCTGATGATATGCTCTTGCCACGCGGCCTCTGGGACCTGGAATGCACGATGGACGGATGGAGGGGATGCTTGTCCATCCACCACCTCCATTCACCCTTGTTGCATCGGGAGGTGTAGCAAACAGGACCTCCCGGCTATACAACTTGGGCTGGTAGGTACAAGTGGGGCGAATCTCCCACGTGCTGCCTGGGTACAGCCGATTAAAATCGAAACATAAACGGGCTTCAATACAAGGAAAGCATGCGTCTTCCAAGCAGCTCTGGACCCCCCCCTTTCAAAGGCATGTGAGACTTCTGGGAGCAAATTGCGACGGGCATCAGTCGGACACACTTGGCTCCATCAAGTTGGACCCTCAGTGAGAAGTGCTGCATATACAGATTCGTGTTGGGATCTTGGCGAAGTTACAACAGCTTTCCAAACAAAGCACCTAGTGTGCTCGGCTGACCATGCATGAAAATATGGCCATCGGCAGGAGGTTGCTTCTTCCGCATTGAATAACATGTATCTAGTGCGCCGCTACTTGCATGGGTAATTGGCACCCACATGATGAATGCCACCGTGGGCAGAACAAGAAAAGATTCACTGATTCATACAACTGGGCCAATCATCTCAACTAGATTCAGGTATTCTCGAAGAGGCCAGATTGGAACATATAGATTGGCCATCGCCACTTCTAACCCGTGAATTTTACTGCGCAAAAAAATCAAGGCCCTGTCAAGAGCCGAAGGGATTAAATGTTTTGATTGCCAAAACGCGGCGTTATCCCGAAGTCCCTGGTCTTCACCCTGGATGGTGACAGCCCTCAAAACGCCTGGGCATTCTTGAGAGCGCCTCGCTGGAATCTATGGCCTCCGGAGCAACGAACAGCACACGGTGTGAATTTCTTTGACAAGGCTAGCCTTTGAATCACCTTACTGGCCATGACGAGCAATGAACGCTACAGCAAGTTGACTACGACTGGAAACTCTCCCCTTGGTCTCCCCTTCCTCAGTTTCGGATTCATCCCCAGGGCCGTAACAATCAGGGCTGGTTCCCCTTTTAGTGGAGATATTCTCTTTGTGCGGATTCCTCGGATTTCTCTCCGGACGTCCGAGGTTTGCATGCAAAATCATGCGTCAAGCTGGCCCAGCCCAACTTCCCCCCAACCGAGAGAAGTTTGCTGAGCTCCAAATCAGTAGGTACCAAACCGGGAAAATCCGTCAAACTGCAAAACGCCAAGTGTGGGGAAAAACACAGCTATGTGGTGCATGGAGTGTAGATATCATATTGTGAGCCACATCCAGCATTTGTATATATATATATATATATGTGTATATATATATATATATATGTGGGTGTGTCTGTTTTCAGGGGACCCCTAAAGTGGTGGTTGTGTTTTTGGTGTCCCTGTCCTCACACAGAAAGAGTGAGCCAAATAAATGTATATATATATATATTAGCTGTATTCGAGAGGTCGTTAACGGCATTTTCCAGAAAACCTGGGCAAGTGGCGCGCGAGGGAAACGCGCGGGCGAGCGAGCGGGTGAACGTACGAGTGTGCGAGCGCACGCGCGAGTAGATGGACGAGTGGACGGACGAGTGCGCGGTTGGACGGACGGACGGACGGACGGACGGACGGACGCACGGACGCGGGCGCGCACGCACGCACCCGTCCGTACAGAAATAAGGGCAGAAATAAGACCATTTTATGGTCTTAAAGAAGGTCTTATTTCTGTACGGGCCCACGCGTACAGAAAAAAGACCTTTTTAAGACCATAAAATGGTCTTATTTCTGCCCTTATTTCTGCACGGAAGGGTGCGTGCGCGCGTGCGTGCGTGCGTGCGCGCGTGCGTGCGTGCGCGCGTGCGTGCGTGCGTGCGTGCGTGCGTGCGCGTGTGTGCGTCCGTCCGTCCGTCCGTCCGTCCGTCCGTCCTTCCGTCCGTCCGTCCGTCCATCCGCCCACTCGTCCGTCCACTCGTCCGTGCACTCGTCCGTCTACTCGTCCACTCGTCCGTCCACGCGCTCGTTGCTTCAAAAACACCCCGTACGCCCCACCTCGCGCGTTTTGAGAATTATACGTTTACGAGTTCTTAAATTTAGCTAATATATATATATATATATATATATGCCCCTTACATGCATCATGAACATTGCAACATCAGTGCCCCATGGCTGCATAGAGCACTTGAACGGTCGAACAAATGGAGTTCTACCTGCATCCAGGGGCCATGGGACTGTAAGGAGCATGCAAAAAGGGCCCCAAATGTACTTCTCAAACGAAGAAACACATGGAGCTGCCTTAAAGGTTCGTCCTGACCCTACCTGCATCCGCCAAGGACCAGTGAAGGATGATAAGGAACATCTACATAAGGAATCATTCGACTCGAGCTGCGTCTCAATTAACCGCTGTCACCGCACACATGAGAATTGCTTCCGTTATACCTGCTACAACTGCTGGCGAGCAGCATGCACATTTGAACCGAAAGCACAACTTGCAAAATCGGACTCCGGCCGAGCAGAGCTGCTGATATGGGCGCCGAGAGGTGAATACACCCGGGAACATGATGATGTTTTGCCCTAGGTGTAGGAGGTGGTGTCGCTACTCGATTTTGCGCCGAAAGCGTGTTTCTTCGCTTGGACGCCCTGGAAATAATTGTTCAAGCCCCACGAGCATATGACACACACGGCTTTCGTTGAAAAGGGATACAATACATGAAGCCTCTCAAAACTGGACACTTCCACAGGCTGAAGATAGTCTTTCTCCTGGGCGCCGACTGTGACCGCTCGGATGCCTTGCGCCACCATCTCCTGGCAAATCCATGGCGCAGACTCCATCCGATTCTATGCGCCATGGAAGACAGGACTGTCCAAAGGGCGCAAAAAACATGAATCGGAAGGGCACGCCTTCCCTCAGCCACAATGGCAACGCCGCCCTGAATTCACGCGCTGAAAACCTGCAAGATCAAGACCGGCGACAAGCGAAACACAATACTGATGTCTGGAAAGCATGTGAACGTTGTGGCCTCAGAGGATGTGGCAACTTCTACTTTGGAAGGTTTAACTTTCTGGAGAATCTATGGACCCTTTGGGGATCCTAGCTACCTGTGCAGGGAGCAATCAATTGAAGGATCAAACATCCCGTCTCACCAACCAGAGGTCCACATGAGGATCCACACACCTCTACGAGGGAACACTATAAGGGATCATCCCCGGGTTTTGGACCCAACAAGACTTCACCTTAGGTTCTTTGGAGGGAAGCACTTTAGATCAATCCCGATATAAGAACAGGCTGGGGGGGGTTCAATCTAAACTCCACCTCCATATTGACTAAGCATCAAAGGATGGCCTTGAATCTTGAAGCAAGATCTCTAGTTAATCACCAAATCAGCGTGCCAATCGAACTCGGATTGCATGAGAATCTCCAACAAACTTCGAGTTGTTGCTTGACAAGAACAAAAACTTAGAGAATCTCCTGTCCCCCAGCCCCACAATCCCAGCAAGTCTCAAGCCGCTTACGTCAAGCCCACCCGTCCTGCGGCAGCGGCGAGTCCCCGCTTCCCAAGACGGCCACCCGGAGCTCCTACGAAAGACCCGTTGACTCCCAGAGTGACCACAAATATCGCTTCGGCCCCGTGTTCGCGGTTCCAGATGTCCATCCAAAGTGTGGGGGCAGGGAATGTCAGCACAAACACTGAGAACCAGTTTCAGGTCAAAGAATTGGTGACTTCTTGGCAGCAACACTCGTGTGAATCAAGGCATGGACACCATAGGAAACTGATCGCTTTTAGCCATACACTGAACACACGCACAAGTCAAAAGTTACTTACTTGCTTTTCCCAAGAGGACATGGGAGAATTAGAGAGCCCCTCAACTTTGCGGGACATTTGGTGAGTTCCCCATGCCCCTCCCTAAGGGACCAGGGGCCGCTGGAATTTTGACCATGGCATATGTGTCCATATCCGCACACATGAACCACACAGAATTCAAGAGTTGCATGCAGGCACCCATACATACACCTCACGTAGATTTACATCGGCACTGCAAATGGACTTGCATGCGACGTGCCAGGAGAGGGTGCCTTTACTCAAGGCACAAAAGGACACGCACACTTGCGACATTTTCCCAACGGCCTCGGATCGCAGGTCGATCCGACCCTCCAGCACCTACGGCTGTCAGAGCTGGGGGGCCATGGCAAGCTGTGCTGAGGACATGGTATCTAGATGTACCTAAGGAGCATTCATGAAGATAAGGAAAAAATCCCGTGTTCTGCAACTGCAATAGACAATGAAGGTGTGGTGGCCTCATGCATCACAATCAAGGCTGTGCAACCATCTGGAGTCCAAAGGGCCCCAGCTGTCTGGCCCTCTGTTGACAATCCGGATATTCCAAACAAATATCAGCCAGCGTGCCTGCGAAAGCTTTGCCAAGTCGACCTCCTGCCACGACGCATTGAAGTCCTGGCAGTCAGGAGGGGCATCACCCAAAGACCCAGATCAGTCATCCAGTGCATCCTGTTTGCAGAGCAACCTTACAGTTAGAAGCTTACTAGCAAAGAAATGCTGTGTTTCGTTGAAAGCAATCGTATACCAGCCTGAGGCCCGCAAGAGACTGCCCTACGGAAGGATCCTATGGCCAACTGTAGACCGGTCAAAGTCGGCAAACGTCAATCGTGTTGAGCCCGAAGAGCAAAGCCCAGGGCTCGAAATGAGCGTCCAAGTTCCTAGAGAGGCGGTGTGACTAGCGCAAAAAAAAGGTGGCTGGGTAAGGGAAGTACATATAATTGGGTTGCGTTGTTGGTAGTGTAATCCCCCTTTTGGGGCTCCTTCTGAAGGGAACTCAAAAGGAAACCGGCCATTTTGACACAAACCCATAGGTTATACAGCAATGTGTGTAAGGGTGTAGCATGAAAAGCTGTCTTCTGGCGCTAGAAGTTGAGCCGAGTGCTAGGGGTGTAGGGTTTTAGTTGTCAAAATGCCTCGAGGTTTGGGGCTGTGGCTTGGATGCCTAAGTGTTTGGATTCTGCGGGCAGAAGCAGCTAAAGGCTTGTAGCATGTTCGCGGCAAGCTTGGGCACGCACAAAAACATCAGGGCCTCAAGTGCCAGTTAGGCGGCTATGTGAAGCAACATCTTTCCTGAATCCTAAGTCTGCCTCTGTCCCATCATCCTGACAAGCTTTCCATCTGGAAATCAAGCTCAAATCTGTCTCAATCTCCAGTCAGAGCAAGCTCGGATCAATGCAACTGGAACATGGCAAAGGCAATGTAAAATGCGGATAACGTCCGCACCTGCTAAACTCGACCCGTATAAGTCGCTCGACACTTGTGAAGTAGCTCGCAGTGGGCAAAATAGCATCTCCCATCAGCCGACAGGGAACCAATCCCTCAAATGACGTGGTTGGCTCATGGACTCATGATGCACATCTTTGCAACCAGCAATGGTAACATATCCTCCCCCGCTCGGCAAGTTAGCTTTACAAGGGGAACCGCACCTGCTAGCTTGGCCTAATATACCTGGTCTCACTCAATGCAAGCCAGCCTCAACCCCCAGGCGAGTGTTCTCTGCCTCAGCCGAATGGACAAGGTTGCTCTTGGAACTTGTCGACTGTGAGGCATCAAGGTTGCAATTTGCCCAATCCCTCGGAAGCCTAAGCAGCGACAGCCTGCATGAAATCTTGCAGGCTGGCCGCCTTCGAAGTCAGCTGCCACCAACAAGGCATTTCTTTATATCTCTTTACTGCCCATCTGTGCTTCCCAACTTTTGCAAATAAGAACCATGAGTGTGATTAGTTGGCGTGCCATTGCCAGCTGGAAGAATCGGTAAGTCCCGCAGGCCGCCATTTAAGAAGCGTGCCGTTGATGGCCTGGGGAGGATTTTATGGTCCTCCACTGAATGCAAACTTTTGCAGAAAGGCTTAGAAGGGCAAATCAGCGGCATGCTGGTCCATTTTCAGGCCAACAAGCAAACTTGCCACGAAATAGCTGATCACTGATCACGTCTATTGTTCTCATGGCCGATTTCAGCAAGATGGAGCCTTTCGAACAAGTACCCATAGCTCAATGATCAACGCGCCGTTGTTTGTTGTTTCGGGTTCACCCCAGTCAGGGCTGGCGCAAGAGCATGGCACTTAGCCAGTCATCCAGCTGCACATATCCGAGTGATTGCTCGTAATGTGTTTGTTTTTGTGAATCAGCCCATTGTTTCGTGCGTCCCGACATCGGAGGCTCGGCTTGGCTGCTTCTGGGCTCTCTGGGCGCCGCGGCGTAGAGGGAGTCCCAGAAGCTGCCCTGCGACACCTGCGACTCTGAAGGGGACGCGAGAATCCGAGACAAGGAAGTCGAAAGCGGCATTTCTATTCTGGGCTGTCCTCAGATCCCCCGCTAAAAGCTTAACTTTTAGTGGGTTAAATGAAAATCCCCACTAAACACTAAAAGGCTAAAAAGCAAAAGAGATGGCTGGGAACCACCAAGTAATGGGATCCTTCAAATCTTCAGACCATGGCTCTGTGACTTTGTGGATTTCGATCTTTGGGGTCCGGCCCGACCCCGGGACCCCGGATTCGTGTCTTTTCCGACTTCGGCTCGCCGAGCTGGGGCCAGCGGAAATGGTAGTGGCCTAACAAAGGGACATGAGGAAAGACGGCTTTGGATACTCCATGAACCAGACTACCTGCCGGGGGCTCAAGCGAAGAGAATGGAGCACGAACCCTTGTTTTCTTCTTGAACTAGTGGTAGTCTCCCCTTCCAGAAAGCTAGAGTCACTATTACTATGGTCCTTGCCAATGCTCCTCCCCTCAATTGGCCCAATGCAAGCTCCCCAACAATGAAGCAGCCATAAACTGCTTGTAGCATGTTCATGCCCCTGGCTTCCGAGACCGTGTTGGCGCTCCAATCTTGGTCACGGCTTCCCCTCAAGCCCCAAGCTGCAAACACTAGCCAGTCCACAGGCGAGAAAGTAACGATCCAGGTCTCCAAATGCTGGACTCCTGCTCAATGCCAACTCTGTCTGGGACTGAAAGGCGACGCGCCAACATCTAACTGGCCCCGGTTTCCACTCGGGAATTGAAATAGGAAAGCCCAGAATGTCTGGCTTCTTTTTCGTGGCTTGCCTAATCTTCAAACCGTATCTGCAGACTCCCACTGCGAAAAAACGCCACCAAAAAGGCTCCTGATGGGAAGCCGCCGCTGCGCCTGCACGGTGCTGGAAGCCACGGAAAGTAGCAGGAAGTGCCTGGCGTCTCGCCGCTGCGCCCCGCCGCAACGGGCTGGCTCCCGCCCCACAACCCAGGTGCTGTGCAGAATCAGTTTGCCAAGGCACAAAGGGAAATCAACAGAAAACCAACAATTTCAAGAAGGTATTCTATTTTGGGAAGCATGTCGGGGGAACATCTACTGGAAGCTTCGCTGCAGGTGCCGGAACATGCTGCGACGATGCCAGCATTCTGCAACACATCTGACGTCGAAACGACTCGTTGGCAGAGCCTCCTCCAACATCAAGACAAACAAAACCTCACCCCGTGGAATTAGAAGCAAACGCACTGTGCGCATGGCCCATATGGCTCTCGTGACCCGGCCAGGCCTGAGCCACAAGACCTGGCGCCACTTTCAGTGCGATGCCAGCGGAATCAGCTTGGGGGGCTGGCGTGACCCCAAAAAAGGCCCCCTCGCGTGAAGGCGAAATAAGAAGCCTCAGGATCAAAATGGACCCCATGGGTTGAACACCTAGGACATCAGCGCAGTAGGTAACGTGAATCTATGGCATGCCGGAGTTTTGCAGGACACCCCAATGCGCAGCCGAGGCAATGAACAAAACTGCGCTGAGTGAACTTGGGCTGCATCGGGATTTGAGGTAAGCTGACATCCCTGGATGACTTTCAACAGGTCACCCCAGGTAGGGCATTGGTCAAGACTGAAGCTGCCCCCTGCTGTGGCATTTGACCTGCTTGAATTAAACTGAGCGTCGACATGGCCGCTACAAGCATCTGTTCAAACAAAGCGGCTCTTTTCAAACTGGAACGCTCATGTAAATGCTCTCTTGATGCTCTGAGGGAAATCGCACAAACGCCCCAATTCACAACCAACCGGTTACTCCAGTTTACAATGCCGTTCATGATTGATGCGGCTCCAGCCAGCTACTGTAACGTGGATTGGGGAACTAGTGCCTGCCAACTGGGTGTGAATTTGATGGGGGACCCTTTGGTGCCAATTAAACCTCATAGCCAACTGTTCATTGGGGGCAGCACCCGCGTCCCACGGCTTGTCTCCCGGCCCGCACGGCGAGCCATGGCACAGGCATGGCACAACGGCGGCTCGTCTGGAAAGGATGGCACTGGCTGGAGATGGCTTTTAGGGGGTGTTTGGGGGGGGGGTGGGGCTTTTGGATTCTACGCAAATGGGCTCAGCATGTCCTGTCCAGCAACGGGGCTCGATCAATCTTGTGAAAGCCTGTGCTGACCATTGACTCCGCATCGATTTGGCAAAGAGGAAAGCATATGTAGGGCTTCCAAACACCCTTACCTTCGGAGTGGTAGCTTCAACAACAATGATTGGCCATACTTGTTGAGGTGTAGGGCCAGGTGGGGCGCTCTGGCAGGCCAACACGTGCTGATTCGAGCCAAGGACAACGACTACTGCAGGAGGGCAATGAGACTCCTGTGGCAAGAGACAAGCATGAGCCCTCAGAGCTGCTCCGAAACGTCACTCGCAAGTTCAATCTCGGTTTTTTTTCTGACCGGAGCTGAACAAGAAAGACAAGGGAAGGGAAGGGAAGGGAAGGGAAGGGAAGAGAAGAGAAGAGAAGAGAAGAGAATGAAATGAGAGAAAGGCAAAAAAAATGACCATGTGTTTGGTCGTGCTTGATTCATGCCAACTGTGTTTGCAATCGGAATGGATACATCAGATTCTCCATATCGCTGAGAGATAGGGCAGGTCTGGGCACTCAAATGCGCTCCAGGAGGGTCTGATGGCAATAGTTTGGCAAAAGAATTCCAAACACGCGCGTGGAACCCAGCAACTATCCAAAGGAGTCTTCGTTTCAATGCTCTCGTTTTAAATTGCAAACCTCAGTCAGGGCTCACTCGAGGCTTGGTTTCTCCCTCGAAGCTTCAACAGGAAACGAGTCACAACTCCTTGAGTCATGGCCATGGTTCCTTAAGAAAACAATTAAGCTTGTGTCGTCCAAAAGGGTCGACTATCCTTCTGCGTATCATCCCTTTTGACCATGGAACTGGCCAAATATGCGCGCTTGGTGCGTGCTCTCACGCAGAAAGAGCCCAGGGAAACCTCCAACCCCTAGCTTCCGGACCACCGTCCGCGCCTCTTTTTTCCCGCCTACTTGGACAGCAAATGCCACGGCTCCGGAGGAATGGGTTGGTGAACCGACTGCCTGCGCAGAATGCCTCGTCCCATCGCGCCATGACCAGTGAGGCGTGGGCAACAGTTGCAATTCGATGAGCTTGAATCAGTGAATCAGGCATCTTGAAAAATGGTTGCAAGGATACCTCTTCCATCGGTGACGTGCTTTTGGTTCCACAAGCTATACACTTTGCCGAGATCAATGCATACAATGACCAACAGGATCCGTCAGGAACACGAGTTGACACTGGTCCAAGAGAGCCACACTGATTTTCTTTGGCCATGCAGTTGGATTGAAAACACGTCCGTTGCCAGCTCCTCAAGTCTGATCAAGCTTACAGCGTGAGAATGTTTTAGACTGGCCTAAAGCAGCGTCTAAAAACCCTTTTTGCTCAAGTATCACGAAGCTCTGCTCGGATCAATTCATCTCTTCGGGTGTCATCCACTTTGTCCAAAACCCAGGCATTCTCCTTTCACCAATGCTGACTGCATGCTATCCTGGCCCAAACAGGCACATTCCACGTTCGGCAGCAAGCCGCCCCTTGACGAAAGCCACCCGGACAAATTGCATGTTTGCTATGATGCATCCCTCAACACTTCCGATGTTGTCGTTGAGCATCCGGGATGCGGCATCTGCTGCGGCGAGAAACGGCGCCCGAGCATCGAGCTGAAGCCACTGCCTAGCTTGAACTTTGTTTTCCTGCTTGAAATTCCATAACTTTTGCCTTCAGAAACCTTCTGCCAGGTCGCGTAGAACATCTCGGGATGGAATGGGGAACATGTACCAGCTCGATGCCTCGCAGCCCGCGAGCAGCTGCTTCGGCCGGCTCAGAACCAGCTCTGCGGCCTCAAGCGGGAGCTGCAAGCTTGCGGACGCGGAAAGTTGCAAAGGGGATATGAACCTTCCCAATCAATACAAGGGCCAGTATGGCCAGTTGCGCTTGGTACAAAGTCATTGACGTCCAAAAGCAAACAAGGAACTGCACCAGCAATTTTGAGCAGGACGAATCCCAACTCTGTTTGTCCTCCCAACATGGCTCAGTCCGTTACACGTGTCGAATTCTGCGTGTAATTGATTGCACTGTACATATAACAGCAAATTCCATCGGGTATACTTTGTATTTAAGCATGTTGCATGTGTATGTGTATAGATAAGTGTTTGCTTGTATGTATTCGTATATATGTATATGTGCAAATGTATCTATGTGTATGTATATATATATATATACATCATACATATTCGCTCTGGTCAGGATCAACATGAACCCCACAAGGTTTCCCAAAAAACAATGTGTTTCTTGCTTCTTCCGAGGCAGTTCCATGCAAGTATTCAGAGGAGATTTCCCTTTTGGTATCGTTGGGTGACCAGAATAGGGAACCAACAAGTGTAAAACGATACTACACCTATCCCTAAATGTGGGGGCTGGAAGCAAGAATGGTCGGCGGCGAGCACGCATTGACAACGTGCTTGTTTGCCTGCCGCCGAATTCCCTGGTTCAGGTCCTCGTTCCCAGCATGCTCGTCAACAGCTTGTGGGTGGCCGTCTTGGAAAGGAGAAAAGGTGCGCCACTGAAAGATTGTGACCACAGCTTGTGCGAGGTGGGGAGGGGGCTGGGCAAGGGTTGGGCAATGCTTCAGATTTTGTGTCTAGATCTCCAGTTGAGTGTCTAGGAGACAGACAAGATGTGACAGGGTTTAAATATCTTATCATGACCCTTCTCAAGAACAGACCCACGGGGCTAACAATCGACTGTGCAATTAAACTTTGCACTATCTTGTCAAACATGGACCCTCCCAGCAACTAACATCGACGCTGACGCACTTCTAGGGGGAAAAGCTACTAAGTTCCAGTGCGAAGGGAGAGCACAGGCCCGCGCAACACGATGCTCTTTGCCTTCGCCCACTGGCCTTTTTGGATGCGGCAGGATTGATTCTTCCGGTCGCCTAGAGGGGGCTGTAAACCCCGAGAAGGTTGACAGCTCCATCAGCTCGCCAGCCAATCCCACTAAAGCTTTCTACCCAGGCTGAACCATGTGCTCCCGTCGAGTCCGTGCGGTTCTGTTCACCACATTCTCAGCATTGAGAGAGACGCAGCTTGGGGTTGGCAGGCTCGTCAGCTGGCGGCAGTTATCCAATGCACCAACAGCACTGTGCGCTCCGCCAATGGCTCTGCTCGTCAGCGGAGCGGCGCACACAATGCACAATCACGCCACACTGGGGATGCCTCGACAAACTGTCCAACAATCGTGTGAATTCTACCTTTCCCATCAAGTTGCTTGGGGATGACGCAAGTAAGGCTGCTAAAATCTGCTTTGCAGCAGACTGCAACACATTCTCCTGACTCCTATTGTGTGTGTGTGTGGCAACGTAGTGTTCAAGACCTGAGCAAATGTTGCGCTATGTGATGGTGTCTGTCTCAACGCACGAAGCGGCCCAAACCGTTCGCTGGCCATTTACAGTATGGATGTGTGAACTCCCCAAACAGCTACCCATGGCTCACGCTTCGCCCTTTGTGATAGATTTAGCCTCAAGCAGGCAGCCTTTGGGCTCCGCGGCAGCCAGCCGGGCGAGAGGGGGAAAGCTGAATTGGGAAACCTATGCGGGCTACGTTCTGCCCAAGCGCCTGAAGCATGCAGAATGCTAAGGCTTCCCCGCAGGAAATAGGAGGCAGTGAACCTCTAAACGGCCAGGCACTCGTGGCACCACTCGCAAAAAGTGTCATGGGAAGCAAGGTGATTACGGCACCGATTGAGAGTTGACTACAAATTAAACAAAGGAGTAAGGATCCCAACCCCTCCTCCCCAACCCGGAATAAGTGCGGGCGTGCGGGGGGGCTTACGAGCGTGCGAGCGCGCGGGCGTGCAGGCGTGCGGGCGGGCGTGCGAGCGTGCAGGCGAGCATGCGAGTGTGCGGGCGCGCGGGCGGGCTTGCGGGCGTGCAGGTGCGGGCGTGCGCACGTGTAGGTGTGCGGCGTGCTGCGGGCGTGCGGGCGCACGGGCGTGCACGCGTTCGGGCGGGCGGGCGTTTATTGCGTGCGTGCGTGCGCTTCTTGCGTGCGTGTGTGCGTGCGTGCGTGCTTGTGCTTTCGCGAATTCGTGCGTGCGTGCAAGCGTGCGTGCGTGCGTGCGTGCGTGCGTGCGTGGGTGGGTGGGTGGGTGGGTGAGTGTGTGGGTGTGTGGGTGTGTGGGTGTGTGGGTGGGTGGGTGGGTGGGTGGGTGGGTGGGTGGGTGGGTGGGTGGGTGGGTGGGTTGGTGGGTGGGTGGGGTGTTGGGTGGGTGATGTGGGTGTGATGTGGGTGTGATGTGGGTGTGATGTGGGTGTGATGTGATGTGGGTGTGATGTGGGTGGGATGTGGGTGGGATGCGGGTGGGATGCGGGTGGGATGTGGGTGTGATAGGGGGGTAATGTGGGTGTGATGTGGGTGTGATGTGGGTGAGTGTGTGTGTGTGTGTGATGTGTGTGTGTGTGATCTGTGATGTGTGTGATGTGTGATGTGTGATGTGTGATGTGTGATGTCTGATGTGTGATGGGCGGGTGTTTGTGTGGGTGTGTGGGTGTGTGGGTGTGTGGGTGTGTGGGTGTGTGGGTGTGTGGGTGTGTGGGTGTGTGGGTGTGTGGGTGTGTGGGTGTGGGTGTGGGTGTGGGTGTGTGTGTGTGTGTGTGTGCGTGCGTGTGTGTGTGTGTGGGTGCGTGTGTGTGTGTGTGCGTACGTGCGGTGCTTGCGTGTGTGCATGTCTGCATGTCTGCGTGTCTGCGAATCTGTGTGTCTGTGTCTCTGTGTGTGTCTGTGTCTGTGTGTCTGCGTGCGTCTGTGTGTCTGCGTGCCTGTGTGTCTGTATGTCTGCATGTCTGTGTGTGTCCGCGAACGTATCTGCGTCTGTCTGTCTGTGTGTGTGTGTCGGTGTGTCTGTGTGTCTCTGTGTGTGTGTGTCGGTGTGTCTGTGTGTCTGTGTCCGTGTCCGTGTTTGCGCGTGTG